CCCCTCCTCCTCCCACTTCTTATCCTCCTCCCCCTCGCGCGGGCGCCGCCCCCGCCTCCGGCGCGCCGGCAGGTGGTCGACGCGGCGGTCGACGTCGTCGGCGAGGGGCCGGCGAGGGGGGGAGGGGGGGAGGAGACGACGACGACGACGACGACGACGACGACGACGACGACGACGACGACGACGTAGATGACAACGATGAGCACTACGACGACCACGACGACGAGGTCGGCTGGTTCGGCCACAGGGGGAGACGACGACGTCAAGGACGACGACGACGACCACGACCACGACGCGATCGTACCCCCTGCGATCCACATAAAAACGTGGTGGAACCACGTTCCCCCTGCAATCCACATATAAACGTGGTGGAACCACGTCCCCCTTGTTTCATTTTGTTTCACTTAAGGCCCCTATGTTTCACTTAAACCCCATGGGTAAAACCCCAATGGTAATGATGATGGTGCGTGCCGTGTCGGGAGAGGCCGTGCATGCCTACGCGTTTTTTTTCCGGAAAGGGCTTGAGCCCAGGGTTCTCTTTTAGATGGTTTCCCCCCGGGTTTGACGGGAAGAGGGCCGGCGAATTTCTTTTGCGATAAATAACGAGTGGGAAGAGGGCCGGCGAATTAAAATTTGAGGATGTCCCTAGCGAAACGCTTGTTTTTCAGAATTTATTGAGGATGTCTCGAGCGAAACGCTTGTTTTGTGTTGTAGATTGTCCTCTCCTGGGGACCTGAATTCTGAGGATCTCTCAAGTGGATTGCTTGTTTTCACGTGCCCAGGTCTTGAGGATGTCTCGAGCGAGACGCTTGGTTTCACGCCTCCAGGTGGCCCAGACAGATGTCTAGCATGAGGATTTGTTGAGGATGTCTCGAACCAGAGGCTTATTTTCACGTGTCCAGATCGCCCAGGCGGATGTCTAGCATGAGCATTTGTTGAGGATGTCTCGAGCGAGACGCTTGTTTGCACGTGTCCAGGTTGCCCAGGCTGATGTCTAGCATGAGGATGTGCTGACAACGTCTTGAGCGAAACGCGTGTTTTCACATGTCCAGGTCGCCCAGGCACAGCACAGCCCTCGGTACGGTACATCAACATCGATACCCTTAGCATTGCAGCCTGGCATGTTGCCTGGCACGTTCCGCGGAGCGTCCCGTGGCGAGTCCCCCTGGCACGTCGCGCGGTGCACGTCCATTGGCACGTTCCGTAGCGCGTCCCCTTGGCACGTCCCGCGGTGCGTGCCCATGGCACGTCCCCTGCACGTCGCCTGGCGCGTCCCTTGGGACGTTCCGCGGCGCGTCCTCCTGGCATGTTCCCTCTGTCGATTGGTTCTGGGGCAGCTACCATCTGCTCAGGCAGCTCGAGCTTACGATCCAGATCAGTTCGGTGAGGACCCGAATGCCAGGGAGGACTCGATCCACAACGCTATATAGAGCACAATCGCGGCATGGCACATCGCAGTTCAGCACGGCGTAGCACAGCACAGCCGTCGGCACGGTACATCAAGATCGATACACTCAACTATGCACCTTGGCACGTTCCTTGGCGCGTTCCGTGGCGAGTCCACCTGGCACGTTGCGCGGCGCGTCCCCTGGCACGTCCCTCGGCACGTCCATTGGCACGTTCCGTAGCGCGTCCCCTTGGCACGTCCCGCGGTGCGTCCCCATGGCACGTCCCCTGGCACGTCGCCTGGCGCGTCCCTTGGGACGTTCCGCGGCGCGTCCTCCTGGCATGTTCCCTCTGTCGATTGGTTCTGGGGCAGCTACTATGTGCTGAGGCAGCTCGAGCTTACGCTCCAGATCAGTTCGGTGAGGACCCGAATGCCAGGGAGGACTCGATCCACAACGCTATATAGAGCACACTCGCGGCATGGCACATCGCAGTTCAGCACGGCGAGGAGGGGGGGGAAGTCCTAGGAGGGGAGGCAGATCCAGCCGCGGCGACGAGGGCGTCAGGAAAGGCCGAACCAGCCGAAGAGGACCAGGAAAAAACGAAAAGCGTCAGAACCCCCTCCCCCCTCCTCCTCCCCCCTCCTCCCTCGTCCTCACTCCTCCTCCCTCCTCCTCCCTCCTCCCTCCTCCTCCTCTTCCCTCCCCCTCCTCCTCCTCCTCCCCTGCACTCCATGCAACTGCAGCCCCTGACGCCAACATGTTCTACTGCGTTAAGAACATGTTGGCGTCACTTGGCTTGGCTTGCCACTTGGCTTGCTTTACGTAAAAAACATTGCTGGCGGCAACTTATCCTCCTCCTCCTCCTCATCCTACTCCTTCTCCTCCTTCTCCTCCTCATCCTCCTCCTTCTTCTTTCTCCCCCCTCCTCCTCCTTCTCCCCCTCCTCCTGGGCCACGACGTGCGAGCGGTGCCGAAGCGTCGTGCAGGCAGGCAAGACGATACCTTCGACGCCACTAAGACCAGCCCAGCGGGTAGGGCGAGGGAGGAAGGCTTGCCTGTCATGGTCCGATGCGCTGTTTCGCCGATGCTTGGAACTGAGATTTGGATTCGGTGGGGCGACATTGTCCCGTTGTGTCCCGTTGCTTCCCGCTGTCTCCCATGGCCTCCCACGGTCTCCCAGTGTGTCCCTCTGCTTCGCATGGCCTCCGGTGCCTCTCGCAGTCTCGCATGGACTCCCGCTGTCTCCTGCTGTCCACTTGCGCCGCTCTCGGCGTCACTCTCTCCGCCATGGTGTGCAGGTGTTCGGGATACTCCGCCGCGTGAAATCAATTCGCCATCGTTTTCAGTACGGAGTCCTCGGAAGGCCCGACCGACGCTTGCTCCATGGTTCTGCTGTTGTCTGAGCCGAGTCGTTCTGTTGACGGTCTCTGGGGCGGGCGAGGGTCCCCCGAGGCCGCGCGCGGCGCAACGCTTCCCCGACCCGCCTTTGCCTCGGGACCCTTTTGCTCCATGGCGATCCCTGGGCGGATCCCTCAGGACCCCTTTTGCTTCATGGCGATCTCTGGCCTGGCGGTCAAACACTGGGCGCCTGACCCGCCCTGGGGTGCGCTCTGGCCAGGATTTCGAGAGGAGTCGAGCCATGGCGTCCAGGAGGCCTACAAAAAGGCCAAAACGCTTCCAAACCGCTAAATTCGAAGTTCGGTCCTCGACTTTCGCTGGGGGTCTGGGCGGGAAGTGAGGAGGGAGGAAGAACGAAGGAGGAGGAACGAGTAAGGAGGAGGAGGAAGGGGGTAGGGACGAGGAGGAGGAGGAGGCAGGATGCGAAGGAGCAGGGATCGGGGGGAGGAGATGAAGGAGGAGGAGGAGGAGGAGGAGGAGGAGGAGGAGGAGGAGGAGGAGGAGGAGGAGGAGGAGGAGGAGGGGGAGGAGGAGGAGGAGGAGGAGGAGAGGAGGAGGAGGAGGAGGAGGAGGAGGAGGAGGGAGGAGGAGGAGGACGAGGAGGAGGAGGAGGAAGAGGAGGAGGAGGAGGAGGAGGAGGAGATGGAGGGGGGAGGACAACGACATTGCTCCTCCCAGCGCCAGGAGCTTGGCATAGCCTGTTGGACATGATTCGGCTGGCCTTTGCATGTTGCGCGGTTTCATGTGAGGTGGCCAGGCACACACGTTCTGAATCACAGTGGTCGCAGCGCCAGGAGGCGGCATGCAATTCAGCTGTGTGAGCTGATTCACCAATCCCCCTTCACTATCCTCCCTTTTCGCCCGACCCAGGCTTGGCATGAGGAAGGAGGGAGGAGGGGGGGAGGAAGAAAGGGGGGGAGGAGTAGGAGTAGGAAAAGGAACGAGAGAATGAGGAGGATGGGTCTGTTTATCCTCAACGGCCACATGTCCCCAATCAAGAGGGATCACAGCGAGGGGAGGAACTCGAAGTCCCTTTCCCTCTCGCAGCAGACCGGGCGGGGGGAAGTAGGAAGGCGGGGGGAGGAGGGACAGGAGGGAGAAGGATGAGGAAGGACTGAGTAAAAAGGATGGAGGGAGCGAAGGAGAAACAAGGAAGGAAGGAGGAGGACGAGGGGGAGAAGAGGAGAAGGAGAAGAGGAGGAGGAGGAGGAGGAGGAGGAGGAGGAGCATGAGCAGGAGGAGGCGGAGGCGCAGGGGGAGGAGGAGGTGGTGGGGGAAGAGGGAGGAGGAGGATCCCAGGCGCAGCGCGACGATCTTTTCATGACGTGGACTCCCAGACGTCTGGAACCCGAGCCGCTCATCGACGCTCCCGAGGTTTGGCGAGGGCCCCTGGAGGCAGGACAGAACGCAAGACCTTCCGTCGTGACTTTGGCACGGCGCGAGGGGGTCTGGGAAGCGTGCGGGAGAACGAGGAGGGAGGTCCGACGACGCGACATATTCGCAACGTCGTGAAACTCACGAGCACAGCCTTTTGCCTACTTTCTGTATCGATCTGTGAGAGTGCAGGGGCCCGAAACGGGGCAACGACCCCCGGTTTCGAAACAAGTGCGACGCCAGGGTCTCAGGGGAGGAGGCCGTGAACCCCCTCCCCAGACGTCCGGCGATCCATTTTTGTTCGATGCGTGGACCCCCGGAGGTCTCGACACGTTCTCGATCACAGGGCCCCTTTCCATGTTGAGTTGTGTTTGACCGTCCCGCGGTCCGCACGGTAGAAGACGAGGCAGCATGCTCGGAGCGCCGCGTTCTCCACATGTTTCGGGGTTCGTCCCTTCGTGCGAGCTCTCGTGCGCGAACTCTTTTCTTGTCCTCTTGTCCCAAACTGACCCGAGCCCGAGGCCGATAATGACCAAACCGGCCGCTCCATCTTTCTCGGAGTCTCGGATCTCTGGGTCGGGTTACCCCGACCGGTGTGTGGTTTTTTGCTGGGGCCTCAGAGGGTCCCACAATTCAATTCCGCCGGCGGTTTGGGGATTCGTGCAGATTTCGTCGGGTCTCGTCGACGCTTGAGCGATGCCTGAAGCCTGGACGAGGCCTGGAACATGGCTGAGCAGGGGGTGGCCGAAATGTCTGGCGAGCTCAGGCTGAGCTCGTGTCTGTGATCGGGCCGCGGAGGTCCGGAGGAGGCTCCCAGGCGGGCTCGGCCCGCCGACCGCGGCCGCAGGCCGTGCCCGGGTCGAACGCCGCGACGCTCGCGGCAGGGCTGGCCCAGCTGCTGGGCCAGCCGCAGGCCGCCGCGCCCGCCGCGCAGGCGGCCGGGATCCGACAGCGACGAGGACGACGCCGACGACGAGGGCGACGACGACCAGGAGGACGACGACGACGACGACGACGAGGAGGAGGAGGAGGAGGAGGAGGAGGAGGACGAAGACAGCGACGACGACAACGGCGACGAGGACGGCAAGGCCGATGACGACGACGAGAACAACGGCGACGAAGCTGCCGGGTCGGCCCTTGGGAAACTCCTCGGGGGGCCGTCTCTGCAGGGGCAGCGTCTTGGAGCTGGCTTGGGAGTCCGGTCAGGGTGGCCCATGCATTTGGCTCTGGTCATTAAGGCGGGGGCAAGAAAGGTTCGAGGCTCTGAGTTGCAGGAGTTTCCCCCCCCCTTTTCCTGGGGCGAAGAAATACACCAGATGCCCCGGGACGTGTCCGGGTGGTTTCACCCCCCCCCTCCTTCAGAAGGCGAACGCCCACTCCCACCCCCAGTCGCGACGCCCATCCCCGAGCGGGGGGTTCAAGGGATCGGACTGGGACTTGGGGTGGGGGTGGGGGTGGGGGCAACCCCCCGTGTTGGTGTTGGTGCCCATTTCCAGGCCTCCGATGCCAATGTTGGCCCCAGGATCCTCGGAGGCTGCAGCGGGCCCAAATCCGTCCGTCGTGCTTTCTCCACGACGCGAGAGGGTCTGGGTTTGCTATCCCCCCCCTCGGGGGTAGCGACAGGGGGGGGGTAGGCATAGGCGGGGATGTATCGACCGCCAATCGCCCACTGATCGCTGATAGGGGTCCGCTAGCCCCAACCCTGCCCAGCCACGTGCGGGCTCGCTATCGGGGGATCGCCGATCTATCGGCGATGCATCGCCGATTCCAGGCTGATGCATCCCCCCTCTATGCCAGTCCCCCCCTATCGCTGCCCCTCCCCCTCGTTTTGGCAGAACTTCATAAACGTTCACTTTTGGCGGTCCTCGTGGGTATGTTGGATCTCCGCGGCGCGCGGAGCGCGCCAGGGGTTGCGCTGGAGGCGCCGCCAGAGGGATTCGGCGCAGATCCAAGAAATCCGTGCGGACGGTCAACAGTTTGTTGTTTTTGTATGTTCCTCTAGTTTCTCCTGGCATCTGGCCCCAATTAGCCGAAAAGGTTGTTGTTGTTGTTGTTGTTGTTGTTGTTGTTGTTGCTGTTGTTATTCTTGTTGTTGTTGTTGTTGTTGCTGTTGTTATTATTGTTGTTATTCTTGTTGTTGTTGTTGCTGTTGTTGTTGTTGAACATTATTAATTCTAAAGAATAATTATTGTTGGGCCCCCTGGTGCGCGCCCCCCCCGCCGCGCCTAGGCCGCAGCCACGTTTTCATCATTTTCGTGAGGAAGCCTCAGGTAATTCGAGTTGATCAAGATCCGGTTGTTTTGTTGTAATCCGTTTTCCCTTGCAAAAAACACTATAAAATGACATTTCTTGTTCTAATATAATCAAATTTCAAGAATCCCTTGCAAAAAATAAGGTAAAGTGGACATTCGCGCGCGCAAGACGAAATCCTTCCAAAAGCTTAGTGTTCGGAGCGATTTTAACATAAAAACATCAAAAAACCAATGGTTTTTCAACAAAAAAAAATGTCAAAATCTCATCCCGCGCGCTCTTGCGGATTCGTAGGAAACCCAACACTTTTTAAACATTTCTGTCAAACGGGCTTTTGCGAGCAACTTTTTCGAACTTCTGCGACAACGGTTGCGCACCTGCCAGGGCCATCATCCCTGTCAAATAATACCATGCGGGACAGATTCGTTTTTTTGCGGGACATACACCGCCCCGAATAAGTGACCAAGTTCTGTGGGTGTGTACCCCACGCCAGTGTAGTAGCCACGGTCGTCCGCACGCCACGAAGTGAAGTGTCCCAACGTCATAGGGCGGGAAGCTGGGTTTGGGTGGTCGCGAAGAGTCGTTTGGATATTTGGTAGAGCTTGTAATGCCCCCCCACGAAGTGGGGGTATTGCCTGGTGTCGTATGAAAACCCTGGCACTGGGGAGAACACCACGCGTTCGGGTAAAATGATTGTTGTTGTTGTTATTGTTGATGATGTTGTTGTTGTTGTTGTTGTTGTTGTTGTTATTGTTGTTTTTGTTGTTGTTGTTGTTGAACATTATTAATTCTAAAGAATAATTATTGTTGGGCCCCTGGTGCACGGCCCCCCTGCGCCGCCTAGGCCGCAGCTACATTTTCATCATTTTCGTGAGGAAGCCTCAGGTAATACGATGTCATCAAGATCCGGTTGTTTTGTTGTAATCCGTTTTCCCTTGCAAAAAACACTATAAAATGACATTTCTTGTTCTAATATAATCAAATTTCAAGAATCCCTTGCAAAAAATAAGGTAAAGTGGACATTCGCGCGCGCAAGACGAAATCCTTCCAAAAGCTTAGTGTTCGGAGCGATTTTAACATAAAAACATCAAAAAACCAATGGTTTTTCAACAAAAAATGTCAAAATCTCATCCCGCGCGCTCTTGCGGATTCGTAGGAAAACCAACACTTTTTAAACATTTCTGTCAAACGGGCTTTTGCGAGCAACTTTTTCGAACTTCTGCGACAACGGTTGCGCACCTGCCAGGGCCATCATCCCTGTCAAATAATACCATGCGGGACACATTCGTTTTTTCTTCGCGCGCGCACGCCGAAATCTCCAAAAACCATTGGGTTCTGTGGGTGTGCCCACGCCAGTGTAGTAGCCACGGTCGTCCGCACGCCACGAAGTGAAGTGTCCCAACGTCATAGGGCGGGAAGCTGGGTTTGGGTGGTCGCGAAGAGTCGTTTGGATATTTGGTAGAGCTTGTAATGCCCCCCCCACGAAGTGGGGGTATTGCCTGGTGTCGTATGAAAACCCTGGCACTGGGGAGAACACCACGCGTTCGGGTAAAATGATTGTTGTTGTTGTTGTTGTTGTGTGTGTGTGTGTGTGTGTGACCGGATCAGACATGTGATCGACAACGTGCCCGACGCTGTGACCGAACATGTAGCGTGACCGAACTTTTTTCCGAAACTGCGAATCGTCTTGGCTTCGCACCAGGAATGTCGATCACACTCTGGCGGCTTCGGAGATGTTCGGGCGCCGGTTTCGGTCACACTCGGGCACATTTTCGGTTTGATGTGTGTCAGTGTAGTTTCGTCTGGACCTAGGAAGGACGAGCTGTTCCTTCGAGGGCCTGGGCCTCCCCCCCCCGATCAGGCCTGCTCCTCCTCTTCCTTCTCCTCCTCCTCCTCCTCCTCCTCCTCCTCCTCCTCCTCCTCCTCCTCCTCTCCCTCTTCCCCCCCGCTGGGACGAGGCTGCGTGAAGTTTCGCTCGCCCCGGTCCAGGCGGCCGCCCTCGGCGGCCTGGGAGGCTACGGCGCCCTCGGCCTGGCGGGATTGCAGCAGCAGCAGCAGCAGATGGGCGGCGGCCTCGCTGCAGGCTGGGTCCTCCGCGCAGTTGTCCTCCGCTTCGCCGTGCCCCTCCTGCCTCGTCGCCCCCCCCTCTTCCTGCGCCCCTCCTTCTGGACCCTTCCTCCTCCTCGCCTCCTGCTCCTCGCCTCCTCCTCCTCCTCCTCCTCCTCCTCCTCCTCCACTTCCTCCTCCTCCTCCTCCTCTTCCTCTCCTTCTCCTCCTCCTGCTCCTCCTTTTTCTCCTGCTCCTCCTCCTCCTCCTTCTCCTCCTGCTCCTGCTCCTCCTCCTCCTCCTCTTTCTCCTCCTCCTCCCCCTCCCCCTCCCCCTCCCCCCCGTCCCCCTCACCCTCCTCGCCCCCGCGCGCAGGGGGTCCAACAGACGTCCAGCGTCCTGCAAGGGCTGCGGAGGTCTTCGGATGGCCTCCGGGTTCCACCCTGGGGGCGCCGGAGGTCGTTCCGAGTGGCCCTGGCTAGCGGCCAGGGCGCACGGAGCTCCAGCTTTCTGGAGACGATCTGGATGTCCCGCCCCTCTGCTCGGCGGCGAAATGCGAAGCCTGCATTGGAGGCCCATGCCAAGAACCACCCTGCTTGCCTCCGGGGTGCCGTGGGTTTCTTGGGCTTCGATGGTCGTGCGACGGGAAGAGCGTGACGTGCCCAGACCAGGCATCAGGGGACGCTCTGGGGTCTCAGGCTGGGTTTCTCGTGGAAGGCTTCCCCTGTGGTCGGGCCCCGACTGTGCCCTCGCCCATCAGCGGCTCAGGGGACTCGATTGGCGGCGGGGGCAGGGTTGGGAATTCGTCGAGCACTCGGCGGGGTCCGAACCCTGCCCCCGCCTCCCCTGGAAGGCATGAGGAGCGATGGTCGGAGGGGGTGGGGTTCGGATGTGGCCACCTGGTGGTCTCGATCCGATCCGAGCAGACATGACGCGAGTCCTTCTCTGGCTTCATGTGCTGAGCCCGATCCGTGATCCCAAGCAGTCCGATCCCGATTCGATGCCGCGCCGATGCTTGCGCGACGCGACACGTTTCCTGTCCGATCTGGTTTCGCGGCTCGGTCCAGGTCAGGCTTGTCAGAGCCACACGAGGGCATCAAGACGCCAGATGTCGGGGGGTTGATCTAGCAACATGAAGCCTCTACGAGCCCCGTTCGGGGGGGCGAATCGCCCAGAGGCGGACATTACACGCATTCGCTGGATAGCCTCGCCGAATACATCAACCATCGGCGCCCCTGGACACATGTGTTGCCCTCCCCTGGGCTATTCGCCCCAGTCGTCGCCTCGGAGGCCTGTGTGGACAGTGGCTTCTGGCGAGGCAGGGAGGCCCTGCTGTCCAGCGGGGCCTGGGCCCACGGTGCTCTCTCGTCGGAGGCCTGGCCGTGGCGGATGGATGTTTCTTCCCTCCGGCCCTCCCAAACGGGGCTCTGAGCAGGTGGGGATCCGAGGAGCGCGCCGCCCCTTCGATGCACCTGCGATGCGGCTCGATGCGGACCCCGATGTGCTCCACGCCGAGGCATCGCCGACGTGGAGCCCTACGTGTCAGAGAGGAGCAGGCGGCCATGAGTCATGAGCAAGCGGCCCAGATCTTTCCTACTGCTCCACAGGGGCTGCAGAAACGAGGGCCTCTGGATACTTCGGAATTCCTGCAACGTATCCCGAGTCATTCGTATCATGGCATCATTATCGTCCTGGCTTGGGGGTCTCATGTTCGGCACCGCCCAAACATACTTAAACGATGCATGCGTCGGCCACGAAAGGTTGACGCGACAGCTCGGGAATCTTATAGTATGAGATCCGCGGTGGGCGCTTTCTGACCACACCGCTCGGGAAACGATATACTATACCATGTGTTTGCTATATGCTGGCGTCGGGCATTCGCCTCCAACATCTGTACATCGTACTCGTATGTCCTTCTGCGCCTCATCTAGGTACTTCAGACCTGCCTCGTATCTCGAGCAGTTCGCATCATGGCATCATTATTGTCCTAGTTCGGGAGGTATCTGCCTCTATGCCTTCCAACTGGGTTCCGAGTTGAATGGATCGGGGGGCCGCGCCGCATCGTCAATGCATCGGCGATGCGGCTCGTTGTGGACCCCGATGTTCTCCACGCCGACGTCGGTGATGCGTCGCCGACGTCGCCGATGCGGCGCGATCGTCCGACCCCATCTACTCGGACCCCATTTGGGAGGACCGCTATTGTCTCCCCTTTTCAGAAGTCAGGCGAAGGCTGGCAAACCCGTGGCTGCTACAACGGGGCTCTTTGAGAGTTTGATTTCTTCTTCCGGGAAGCAGCCCGTTTACTATCCGGTGCGCTGAGTTTTATTCCGGGGACTTTGTCTTTTGCCTGCGGGAAGACCGTGTCAGCGGCCACGGATTTGCCAGCCTTCGCCCAGCTTCCCACCCCTGCCCGCAGGGCTGAGCTCGGCCGTGACCTCCTCGCCCTCGGCCGCGACGCTCACGGACGCCGCCATCGTGGCGCTGGTGGCGGGGCGCGAGAGCGCCAGGGACCGCCACGACTGGCAGGCGCCGGGGGGCAACGTCAGGGATTGGGGGCAGCGATACGGGGTACACCCTAGGCGATGCTCAAGACAACTTATGGTTTCGGCCAGAGTCTCGATTATTCTTAACTTTCCAATGTAAACCCCAAGATTTTGATAGAAGTTCTGGGTTTTACTTAATGTCTGAGACTATGAGTTTCTGAACCCATGATTTCTTAAGCATTTCGCAGGGTGTAGTTCCAACCTACTTCAGCCTTGGTCACGAGAAAGAATTTCGAGCACCAAGAACGTTCCCACCCACTCGAGGGGGGTGTTCACGTGTCGGGCCCTGGGAGGCCTTCGTCCGACACTGTTTGGACACTCTTTCGACACTTGTCCGGGTGCTCAAAGTCATTTCTGGGATGTGGTCCTTAAGCACGATGGGAGCAACATAAGATACGGGAGGGATAGGCTCAGGGGGGGATGCATCGACCCCCAATCGCCCATTGGCCGCCACTAGGGGCCGGACAGCCCACCCCGTCCAGGAGCGTGCGGATTCGCTATCGGGGGTCTATCGCCGATATCGCCGATTCCAGGTCGATAATTCCCCCCTGAAATGGTCCCCCCGATACGTTTGCCTCTCAAGAGGGGTGAACTGTGCCCAGTTGGGAGAGAGGGTTCGGCAGCAAATCATGAGAGCCTTGTGTACCCTCGTAATTATGTAGAGAGCATCAGTGTCGATTAGCGCTTGGTAGTCGGTGGGAAGGCGCCGATTCGTGACGATTCGTGTCGATTCAGTGTCGATTAGCTTGCAAGAGCCAACAAGATGGTATGGGAGCCTCCCATGGGTTTCCACCGAAGGATGGGGTCAGGGGGGACGTTTCGGCTTCGACGAGGTTTGAGCTTTGCGGGCGTTTCTTCGTCGGTTGCCAGCGGTTCTCCCGCTCCGAGAGGCTCTGTCTAGCAGCTGAGCTCCGCCGCGAGGCATCCGCGGGGGTGCCGAGATCTCGTCCCGAACGGCGGCCGGAGGCCCGAGCTAGGACCTCGAAACCACCGGGTAGGTGATAGGCTCAGGGGGGGTCGGTGCTTCAGAGATGGGGCCCTGGAGCGTGTTTCCTTAGTGCTTGGGACATGATGGGCATTGCAGCCCCCGGCCCTCCCTTGTAACGTAACGCCCCTCCCCCCCCCAGTGCGCTCCGGGCACTGCCGCCGTGCGCACGGCGGGGGGGGGGAGGCGTGACATTATACCCCCCCCCTGGCGCCTCCTCCCCCCCCTATAATGCCCACTATCCCCGAAAATGAAGACACACGCTCAAGATGGGGCCCCGAGGGATGGGGCTCCCAAGAGCGAGGTGCCTCAAACGACGCAAATTCACCCTTGGGTCCCTTGCGATCCTCATCAGAAGCCGGGCGAAGGCTGGCAAACCCGTGGCTGCTAAAACCCAGTTTCGGGAAGTCGCCTGTTCAGCACTTAGTGCGTTGAGCTTTTTTTCTGGGAATTTGTTTTGTTCTTCTGGGGAGACCGTTTTAGCAGCCACGGATTTTCCAGCCTTCGCCCAGCTTCCTATCCTCAGGCCCCCCCTATAATGTCACCCCCGGCGTTACAGCCCCAGGCCCCCCCGCGAAACGTAACGCCCGTCCCCCCCAGTGCGCTCTGGGCACTGCCGCCGTGCGCACGGCGGGGGGAGGCGTGACATTATACCCCCCCCTGGCCCCTCCCCCCCACCTTTAATGCCCACTATCGCCGAAAATACAGAAACGCCCTCAAAGACGGGGTCCTGAGGGATGGGCTGGGGTCCTGAGGGCGAGGTGCTTCACACGACGCACATTCACCCTCGGATCCCTGCCTATCCTCAGGACCCCACCTTCGAACCCACCACATCCCTCAGGACCCCACCCCTCAGAACCCCATCCCTCAGGACCCCACCTCTCAGGGCCCCACCTCTGAACCACCGATGGGGGGGATGCAGCGTCCCCCAATCGCCCATGGGTCGCTGGAGGTGGGCTGACAGGCCCAGCCCGCCACGTCCTTGCAGGGTCGCCTATCTCGAGGAATAATAAAATCAGACTAAGCATACTCATGCGAATCAGAATAGTATAATTACAAGAAGAAGCAGACTGATACTACGAATAAATAAGACATGTTGTAAGAGTGTCAATAATGATAGCAATAATCACAATGAAAATATGAAGACAAATAAGTGACGCAAACGCGCTGAAACGTTTGGAGCTTTGCGCGGACTTCTTGGGTCGTCGCTGGCCTTCTGGCGCGCTCCGCGCGCCAGGGATGAGCTCCAATAATACAAGAAATTCGCGCAGAGCTCCGACTGTTTTTTGTTCTGCGGATTGCTGTTCCCTCTCTCCACCGCCGATCCATCGGCGATGCAACGCCGAGTCCAGGGCCGCTGCTCCTCCCCCGAGCTGGTCGTCCCCCTGAGCGCTGCCCTTCGGCAGGCCGCGGACGCCATCCGGAACGACCTCAGGTCCCACGGCGTCGACGTGTGGGACAAGGAGAAGGTACTGCAGCGCGCAAAACTCAGGAGGGGAAGCAACACACAGACACAATTAATCGTCGATTCTCCGGAAATGTGGGAAAAGATTGGCAGTGGGGGGGGGACAAAAACCCAGGAAGTGTAGGGAAATATGGGGAATCCTGGGATTTGTGTGTATCTATTTGTGTGTCCCTGGTCCCCTTGAAAAACCAGAGATCTTGGTGTCGCACACTGGGCGTCTTCGCCTGGCTCGACCCGCGCAGAGCAGCGGTCCACAGGGGAATCCTTCGTCCGGCTTCGAGCCTCGGGACCTTCGCCGATCCATCCGGCTCGGGTCCGGCGGGCTCGGGGGCTCCGGCCGTGCCTTCTGTGATTGTGCAGCTTCCCGGCGTCGTCGCACCCGGCGTCCCGGCTCTGTGAGGGTGTGGCTTCCCGGCGTCGTCGCACCTCGGGGGCGACGCTGCTGCCGTGCCGCTGCTCGAGTCGTGGCGAGGGGAGCGGCCTCCCGGGAAGGAGCCCAGAGGGCCTCCGGGAGGGCGGGGGCCTGCGCGGAGAGGCCCTCCCGGCCTCGGAGAGGCGCCTCTCTTGGGCGCTCCCTCGAGTACGGTGTCCTTTCGGTTCCCTCGTTTCGCGGCTTCTCCTCTTCCTCCTCCTCCTCCTCCTCGCAATTCTGGTCAGCGTGCACTCCAGGAGAGGTCCCGGGAGCAGCGGTACCTTTTCGGTTTCCTCGGTTCGCGGCGCGCACGGGGGGGAGGGGGGCGGGGGGCGCGCGTGGGGGGCGGCTTGCTGAGATGGCGGGGGGGAGGCTCTTCCAGAAGACGGGGGGCCTAAGAAGGGCCTTCCAGCTTCGGAGAAGGCACCTCGGAAGCCTCCCCGGCCCTTCGAGAGGGCCCCCGGCTTCTTTGAGAAGCCCTCGAGGCTTGTTGGACGGCCGCCGCCCCTCGCGCCACCCTCCTCCCCAGAGCCTCGACGTCGTGCTTTTCTCAGGACGGGGGGCCGACTTTTCATCCTGATTTTCGGGGGCCCCCAGATGGGGAGGTCACCACACCTTCCGGTGAGTCGGTGAGGATTCGGGGTCACCGCACGGTGTTGGGACTCGGGTCGTTCTCCGAGGATGTCTCGGGCGATTGGGGCATCCGAGGTCTCAAAACCGTGTGGTGACGGACCCTGCGGTGAGGTCTTTGCGGATTTCGAGGTCGCCGCCGGGTTCGTCACCACACGGTCTTGGGACCCCCAAGGTTTGTTTCTCACAGCCCCGAGGCCCGCTGAGGGCACCCACGAGGCCGAACATGGCGAGAGAAACCTCCCGCCGCGCTTATTCCCACAGCGCTCGGGGGTCTTCGCCGTGCCCCTCGCCCAACAGGTGTGGCGCGCGAACGACGGACGAGCCGGGATGATAGGCGCCTCGAATTTGGTGGGCTTGTAGGACGCCGGCGGAGCCTGGCGGCCTCCGCGCCCTCCTCTCCAGGGGCAGCGACAGGGGGGGATAGGCTCATGGGGAGATGCATCGCTCCCCAATCGCCAACTGAGCGACCCAAAAAACGGGTTCGATTGCGCCGGCATTTGCGCCCAAGCTGCTCGCGTAAGGTCTCGCGTAAGCGCCCTCGTCACCATTGAGACTTGCCGCGCTGGTGCCTCGCGTAAGCCACCGCGTGAGGTCGCTGCGTCATCTCGCGTAAGACTCTTTTTTGATCGTCGCTCAATTTCAAGCAGTGACGAAGCGTCCCGGCTCGCTTATAGCCTTACCAAACAATGTTCTAACACACCTTCTGTGGTCTCTACGAAATGTTCTTGGAACATTATTGGCGGAGGCTTTCTTGTTGTATCACATCGGGCTTATTTATTTTCATTTTAAAAAAGAACGTTGGTTTTGTTCTTAGAATATTTTCGGGTTCTAAGAACATTTCGGGGTAGGGCAATAGGAATGCCAGGATGGTCGCTCCCTGCTCAACAATGGATCGCCAATAAGGGACCGATAGCCCCAACCTGCCCCTCAACGTGCGGGTTCACTGTCGGGGGCCTGTCGCCGATCTGTCGGCGATGTAGCGCCGATTCCAGGTCGATGCGTCCCCTCCCGTGCCAGTCCCGCCCCTTCTCGTTGCCCCTCGCCCCTGCCGCTGTGCTTCTCCTCCTCAGGGGGCGGCCAAGAGGGGGGTGATGACCGGGGGGGAGTCGATATCATGGCGTGGGCCACGATATTTCCTCAGATTTCGGGGCGCCTCTTCGTATTTCATTACGTCGCCGCCCCCCCCCCTTGGGCCGCACACATGCCGCCGGCCATGATTTGCACGCCCCTCTTGGACGCCCCCCTCTTGGTTGTTCTTGACCTTCGGGGGCGTTCAAGCGGGGGAGGACCCGGGGTGACATCCAAGGTGGGGCCCCAGACCACCTCAGCGTCGCGAAACAAGCATGCCGAAGGTCTTTTGTTGTTTTTCGGCCTCCAGGGGCCTTTGCCAGGCCTCGGCACCGTCAAACAACGACTCAGGATGACAAGCCAGTCCCCAGGAAGGGGCCCAGGCCTTTGGGGATTGGAGATGTGTAGATGTCCTGGCCCGGGCTGTGACAGTAGGTCTCCCGACCCCCCCTTTGTCCGCGCACATGCCTCGGTCCACGATGCGCCAACACCCCTCTTCGTGGCCCCCCTTTTGGCCGCGTCTGGCTCACCTGCGATGTATATCTCATTACGCACATCGAAGTCGCATCCATATGTAACGATGTACATCCAGAGATAACCAGATCATTCTTGAGACATCGTATAAGCTCCAGCGTGAGCCGAGGGACATCAGATATCAGTAAGCCCTGAACCCTTACCGAGAGGACAAGAGTGGAAAAGCATGGGGGTGAGGTGCAGAAGAGGGGGGAGAGATTAAAGGAGGAAGAAGGGAGGGGGAAGGCTGGAGGAGGGAGGAACAGAAGGGGGGATAATCATAGAGGTGGGCAGGGAGGGAGGATGAAGAGGTGGTGGTGGTGGAGGAGGAGGAGGAGGAGGAGAGAGAGGAGGACAGGAGGAGGGCGGACGCGGCAGAGGAGGACGCGTTGCTCCCGCAGATGTTGGGCTCGCGTGGCGGGTTTGGGGCGTGTGCACAGGCGCGTTGCCGGCTCACTTTTTTCGTGCCCTCGTCCTCCTCCTCCTCCTTCCTCCTCCTTCCTCCTCCTCCTCCTCCTTCCTTCTCCTCCTCCTCCTTTTCCTCCTCCTTTTCCTCCTCCTCCTCCTCCTCCTCCTCCTCCTCCTCCTCCTCCTCCTTCCCCTCGAGGTCGAAGTCCTTGTGCTTCCTCTCCTTGGCGTGGGACAGATGGCGTGCGCTGTGGCGCCGCCAGCGCCCTCATGACACGCTGTCCCCCACCTTGGGGACAGCTCCGGGGAGGAACAGCCATCCGGACCAGACAATTGGCGTTCACTAAACGGCCCTTTGCGTTTACTTCACAGCCATGCCCTGTTCGATTCTTTCAATGGGGGCTTCTAGTAAACGGCTTCGCGAGTCGGTGTGGTTATTTTGGATGTGGAGTTTTTGCCCTCTAATAGCGTGCACCGAAGACGCCCTGGCATAGGGATGGCGTGCACAGAAGAGGGAACGCGTGCTTTTCCGAGATCGGTGTCGCATGCTATGTTCCCAACGGCAGCCGTACCCAGCAGTCTTTGAAGGTAGGTGTTTTTGTAGTCCCAGATTCCAATCTACTTCAAGCGCCTTTTACTTCAAGGACCGATCCAATCTACTTCAAGAGCCGATTTGTGATTCTCCAGGCGGGCCCGAACCCCACTCTACCTTATCCGCCTTCCTACCTCATGTTTCTACCTACTTCTTCCGACCGATGGGTAATCTCCTCATGCGCGTCACCAACTCGATGACAAGATATTGGGCTACCTTCAGAGAGTCATAATTACTCCCGCCGTCTGGGAGCTCGAGGAATGTGCTGCTTCTGTTGTCCTGGCCAGCTTCGGTCTCGGGGCTTTTCTCGATGTCTCGTGTTGTTTGTTTTCCCGCTGCGGCAGGGTGTCGTTGTTATTTGATGCTTTGCTTCTTGGGGAGCTCAGCAGGTGCCTGTCTCTCTTGTCTTTGAGCTTGGCTTTTCCCTACCCCGAGGGGTTTTACAGGCTTCGCTCCTGCGTCATGGGGCCCTTGCCGCGCATCGGGTCTGTTTTTTGCATTGCTTCCAGGGTCAGAACCGTATCCTCCCACTTTGCGTTTTTGGCCTTTGGTAGCTCCAACTTTGCCCCTTCCTCCCGTTTCGTTATGTTCCTTCTCATGTTTCAGTTTTCTTTTCGGCATTTTGTCTCTCATCCCGCTTTGTTTCGGGGTTCCCGTCGTCATCACTGCTTTTGACTTTGGTTCGGCCTTTGTCTTCTCCGTCGTCCTGCCTGCTACGAGGGCGCTGGCACTGGAGTAATATCACCAGTTTTTTTGTTTGTAGTGGGAAGAGTTCTATACGGGTCGTTGTTTGCATGGTAATCTCGCGTTCTTTGATACACATTCTCTGCCACCGTGGGAATGAAGGAGGGGGGGAAGAGGGGGGGAGAAGTAGGGAGAACGAGGAAGGGACAGAAGAAGAGGAGGACGGATGGATCCTGGATGAAGAGGATGGAGACTGTCAGGATTGAGGAGGGACGGAGGGAAGTTGGAGGGTGAGGAGGAGGAGGAGGACGGGGAGGAGGGAGGAGCAGAAGAGGGAGGAAGAGGGGGATGTTCGGTGGAGGGAAGGGGAAGAGCAGGTGGAGGAGGAGTATGAGGTGCTCTGGTTGGATTGTCATTGTTATGACATCTCTCTGTAGCAGCGGCGCGGGCGCACCCTGTAAAAGAGGCGAGTGGTGGGTCATCGTATTGGCAGCGTCGTCGCAAATGCGCCGCCGCCCAGTTGGATGCGCGGCCGCATGCTGGAGGGACGTCGGGGATTCGTAGATGGGGGGGGGGTACCCCAAGGTTTGGTCAGGAAGCGAGCCCAGCTGGCGGCCCACAGTTTCCCATCGGTCGTTGAGAGTAGGTATTTTTTGGATGTCCATATTCCAATCTACTTTAGCGCCTTCCCACTTCGATGATCGATTGGCTTCACCTTTTCCGTCCTCTTTGGGGGGGGGGGCGGACACCCAATCTATTTCAACGCCTTCCTACTTCATGTTTCAACCTGCTTCTTACGACCGATGGGTACGCATCCAGGGGCCGTCCAGAGCGACATTGCTCGAGTCCGCCCTCCAGCCCCGCTCTCCCCTTGCGACCCCCCGCGCGTGGGCGAGAAGCCGACCTTGGCGTTTGAGGATTCTGGTTTGCGTGGAGCGTGGCGAGGAGGCGCCAGGGGAAGCCTGCACAGTGCTGCGCTGATGCACACCGTTTCGCGGGGGACACGGCGGGGCAGGCGTTCCAGCCGCTCCTCATCTTCCTCCCCTCGGCCTCTCCCTCTTCCTACGTTGACATCTACTTGTTCTTCTGCATCCTCCTCTTCCTCATTGTCATCGCCCTGTTCCTCTGTGCCACCTCCCCGCCGCCTCTTCCTTCTTCACCCCCTCGCCTTCAACCTTCCTCGTTCTCCTCTTGCTCTGTTTCCTCCTTTTC